TAACTAAATGAAGACAAAATCCAAAATTTCGCTACTGTTTACAGGACACTCACTTTACATTTACTGCCATACATAGACTAGCGTAATAAAATCCTTTGGATATATGTCCAAGAGTGATAGAGCTGGATCGTGTGGTAGATCTGGTTTCAGCTTTTTGAGGAACCTCTAAATCTACAGCAGTTTCCATAGTGGTTGTACTCATTTGCACTCCCTCCAGCAATGAATAAGTAAGCGTTCCCTTTCTGCACATCCAGCACCAGCATCTGCTGTGGTTTGTTTCTTTGATCTTTGATTTTTTTTATCTTTGATCTTGGGCATTTTGGCTCACAAGTGCTGGGATTAAAGACTTGAACCCCCACAACCAGTTAGATTTTTTTTAATTGTTTGAGGTATTTAGCTCTCAAGGAAATATAAGTTCAAACTACTTTGAGATTTCATCTTATTGCAATGTGAGTTTGAGGCCAGCCTGGTGTTGTGTTCTAGGACAGCCAGAGCTACCTAACAGGGGGACCCTCCTCAAAACAACAACAATGGAAAGAAATTTTAAAAAATCAAAACCATTTGTATTTCATCTTTTAAGAACTATTTAGATGCATGCTCCAGTTTTTAATTGGGTTGTTTGTCTTCTTGATGTTCAGATTTTTCAGTTCTTTGCATATTCTAGAATTTTAGCCCTTACCAGATGTATTACTGGTAACGCTTTTCACTGTTACTGTGTTGAGGTCAATCTGTGATTTTTATATCTAATGTTTGGTTTTATGAAGTTGGGTATCCTTATGTTTGGTATAGAAATATTTGGAATTATAATATCTTGATGAGTATGAAATGTTCTTCCTTATCTCTTCTGGGTTTGGTTTGAAAACTGTTTTATCAGATTCTAGAAGAGCTACACCTGCCTCTGTTCCATCTGTTTGAAATACCTTCTTCCATCCTATGGTAATGCCTGTCCTTGGTGGTAAGGTGTGTTTTTTGGAGGCAAAAAGATGGATTCTGTTTTCTAATCCAGTCTGTTAGTCTCTGTCTTTTTTGGGGTGAACTTAGACTTAAAATTGAGAGTTATTGTTAAATAATGTTTATTTCTGTTATTTTGCTGGAGTGATATTTTTTGGTGGTTAATTGTTCTGGGATTATGCATTCATTGTACCCTCTTTAGTATGTTTTAATCTTCTCTTCAGTCCAAAGTATTCCTTCTAATATTCCTCTGTAGAGCAGAGTTTGTAGACATAAAATTCCTTAAATCTGTTTTTATCATGGGAAGTTTTTCTCTCTCCTTCAATTATAGCTGATGGTTTTGCTCCGTTTGGAAGTTTGGACTGGCATATGTGGCCATTTAGAACTCGTAGAACATCTGTCCAGGCCCTTCTGCCTTTCAAAGTCTCCACTGAAAATCAGTTATTAGTCTGATAGGCCTGCCTCTATGTGGGACTTGGTCTTTCTCTCTTGCTGCTCTGATATCCTTTCTTTGTCCTGTGCATTTCATATGTGATTAGTATGTGCTGTGAAGAGTTTCTTTTCTGGTTCTGGCTACTTTGTGTTCTGAATGCCTCTTGCACGTTAGTAGGTGTCCCTTTCTTTAGATGTGGGGAATTTCTTCTATGATTTTGTTAAAAAATATTTTCTGTGCCTTTGACCTGGGCTTCTGCTCCTTCTTGTATACCTACTGTTTGAGGTTTGGTAGTTTTTAGTGTCTCAGCTCTCCTGCATGCTCTTCTCTTGGGACTTTTTACATTTACTGTTTTCTTTGATTGAGTGATCCACTTCCTCTACCTCGTCTTTGAGACCTACATTCTCTCTCTCACGAGTCCATCTGTTGTTGGTTACACTGTCCTGTCAGCTCTTTGGTTGATGTCTGAGTTTTTCGAGTTTTATTTGGTTTTGGCTTTTCTTCAGAGATTCTATCTCTTTATTAATTCCATTTTCTCGTCTTGAACTGTTTTTGTTATTTCATTCAACTCTCTGTGTTTTTGTGTTCCTCATTCATATCCTCTCTGAGATTATTGAACATATTTATAATCACTATTTTGAAGTCATTTTCCTATGCATTATCTAAGGTGCTTTTCTCAAAAATCAGTATACTAAAAAATGCCCATTTGGAGAAGAGACCTATAATCTTCATTTTTCATATAGTTTGTGAAATTGGGCCTAGATATCTGGAATTAGGTCATCAGTGGTAGTTCTTGCTGGGTTTCTGTTCTCTCCTTTGTTGAGTGGTTGTTCATTTCCTTGTTTGGTCTTATCCCGGCCTGCCGTAATGTGGGCCACTTGAATGTTATTGGTTGGTGTTCAGTCTTGGGGCCACTATATTTTGGCTTGAAGTAGGGTGTCTAAAGTGGGCTTATCTCAGTGGCAGTTCTGGTGAGACTTCACAGGTGTGGGTGGGTGTCAGGGTGGTAAGCAGGGAAGCTGGCAGGCAGGTAAAAGGGGGAACAGCCCAACAACCAGATTATATGTTTTAACCACATTTTAAAAGAAGAAATAACTAAAAAAATCTTTCTTTACTCTTTTTAAAATAATATATTTTATTTTATTTTTATTTTTATGTGCATTGGTGTTTTGCCATGGGTGCTGAGTCCCCTGAAAGTGGAGTTACAGAAAGGTGTAAGCTGCCATGTGTGGGTGCTGGAAATTGAATTCTGGTCCTCTGGAAGAGAAGTCTTAACTGCTGAGTCATCTCTCCAGTCCCTCTTTCTTTACTTATATATATTGGGGGACGCGGGGGGAGACAGGGTTTCTCTGTAGTTTTGGTGCCTGTCCTGGATCTCACTCTGTAGAACAGGCTGGCCTCGAACTCACAGAGATCTGCCTGGCTCTGCCACCCAAGTGCTAGGATTAAAGGCGTGCGCCACCACAGGAAGCACGGGGTCCCAATGTTCATACAAAGGGGAAGGACATGTATGGAGAGGCCTGGCGAACAGCTGCCCTGCGGTCTCTGCTCTCTGTGTCTGTACTCTGCCATGCTATGGTTTCACTGTGAAATGTCTAGTACTAGGAAAGAGCACAAAGCACAGTTTAAAAAAAAATGTTAATTGTGATACAAAGAAAAATAGGAACAAGGTCCATGTCCAACTGAAAGAAAATGCTTTAAAATCATGTCTCTTTAAAACCATGCTTACGAACACTGTGGTAACAGGTTATGGACTAGCTTAACTGTCAAATCATGAATTCATACACATGCACAGGTATTTTAAGACAAAATAATCGCAGCCCTTTTTGAGAATTTAAAAAATCCTTTTCTTCAGACATCAGAACGTTAACGCCAGCTCAGAGCTTGTGGGCGAAGAGGTAAACACTAGTAGTGATAGCTTAACTGTCTTAAATTCACTTCCTCCCTCTTCCATACCTGCAGCCCTGAACAAAGAACTGGGCAAGGAGTAGGAGACCTTGAAAGGGGAAATAGAGAAGCAAACTGCTGATTCAGCCAACCTGGGCTCTGTGCCATCATACAAGTCCCCGCTGAAGTTGGTGACTGTCAGACTTTTAAAGTATATATAAACATACATACATATTGGCCTTATCTGGCCTTGGTAGATATTTTACAAATGAGGAAACTGGAATTTTAAAAGATTCCATTACTTCATGAAAGGGAAACAAATTGAAAAAAATCTGCATCCTACCATCATTGAGCGCAGATAACAGACTAACCCTGGTCCACACTTGTGACCTTCAGTTTTTTTTTAACAGAATTCATCCACATTTCTTAGTCTGGCTACTCATCCAAAGGGGTGCATTTTAGAAAAGAATTTGAATGTGATTGAAAGAACGCAACAACAGCAGTGAGAAATGGAAGCTGACAAAAGAAAACTACATAAAAGGTGCCCAAAGAACTGAGAAAGCATAGCTCTCTAAGGCTTCTCAGAACCATTCCATCTCACACACACAGCCCTGGGCAGTGCAGGGTTGGCACATTAGTAGTCAGTGTCCTGTACTCCAGCACGGGCAGAAGGTAACACATGCAAAGGGAACCTCCCTGGCTAGCTCCTTTCGGTTCTCAATGGATGTGGTGTATTTCTTGATTTACTTTTAGAAACCTCAAAACTCCATCCCAAGATTTACAAACTGATTTCTAAATCACTGCCCCTCAGAAAAGTCAGTCCCAGATACAGTATTTGGCTTATCTGCCTACCGAAAAGCTGACGAATCGACTTAAGGACAACTCCGTTATCAGCATGCTAGGGAATATTTTGCTGGTACAGCTTAAAAGCTGGAAGCAAAGCATCAGCTGGAGCTCTCTGTGCCACTGTGGTTTAAATCGAAGGCTGCTCTTTGTATAAACATGATTTGTGTGGTTTAACTTCAGGCTGTTTTCTGTGGTCCTCCCATGTAACAGGAATGCGTCACAGGAACAGCTTCGTTTCCTGCGAAGGCTGGAAACTGTGAGCAGCAAAGTTTGGAGACACTGTGAGTGAGTGCTTTGCCATATGTTCAACTAAACTTGATATGAAAAATCATATCGGTTTCCAGTTTCCCAGAACACTCAAAAAAAAAAAAAAAAAGCAGCTCCGGCTTTATAAATATCAAAAGCATCTGCCTGCACAGGAAATTCTGCTCTGTCATTTCACAAATGATCCCTACTTATATGTACAAGAGAAATCAGCTCTGATGAACTATACAGGAAATGATGTACCGTTTTGTTTAACATTTGAAGTAGCTATCCATAGTTCCACATGGCTGGCTGGCTGTTGAGCTACCATTACATGGAGATCTCAGCAGCACTGCCCGGTATGGTCCTGAAGCAGTGATGTTTCCAAGCTAAACCCTCCAGTGAGATATGAAGTTTGTGTGAAAATGCTGCCCCCACCCCCATCTCCAACTCAAGAAGACTCATGAGCGTTTGTGGATTGTTTGGCAGTTTCTCCCTAACGCTTTATTTCTTACTGACTTTCTGAGGCTCTAAAGAATTTCCCTAGAGTCAGTCACCCGGATCCAAATGACCTTCACTTAATTATCAGTAACACTTTGTGAGGGATGACCTTTCTTTGTCTGTTGAGACATGATCTTACCGTGTATCCCTGACTGGTCTGGAACTCCATATGTAGACCCAGCCAGCCTTGAACTCAGAACCCACAGAGAACAGTTGGCCGTGCCTCGTGTACCGGGATTCAAGTCCTGTGCTGCCACACCTGGCTGTTAGTAGCCCTTTTAAGAATATTTCTGAGACATCTCGTGGCCCGCTTCCCCAAAGGGACACGCCACTTTGCAACGTCTTGTACTCTGACGCAGCTTCCTCTTCTGAAAGCCACACTGTCTCGTGGCTCTCGTAAGACCAACAGACACGTACAACCAGAGCGCTGTCAATCGTCCGTCTGCGAGGCCTTCACGCCATCTGTTCACAGCCCCTGTCTCGGCGTCGGCAGCACTTGCTCTCTTGACTACAAGCTCTTGTCATCAATGTTTGTCCTTCACCTCATTGCCTGTTTTCTAGCACCGCAGACGTCACTGAGACTTTTTCTGGCAAACTCTTGGCCTGTTTCGGGCAGTAGCTGTTCCGGCAATGTTTCCTACGAAAGCCCTTTAGCTGCAAAGCCATCCTGGTTTTGCTCTCTCTGCCTCATCTCATTCAGTTTCCTTATTTGGTAAACTGAGTCTGTCCTTGTCCTCGGTCACTTATTCCTGTCTCTCTAGTCAGGTTAATATCACATACTCGGGATTCTTATTCCTACATCTCCAGCGGTCTCTTCATTTACAGCCTTCTGTATGTCAAAGGTTGCTTGCTATACCCTCATGCTTCTTTCTTTAGAAAGGCACTCTCTACTCCTTTATCCAATCTTAGAAGCATTAAAATGGTTCTCCCAGATTTGAAAAAAGGCATCTCTTCCTTCTTCCCTCAGAAACTAGAGACAGAAACTCTCTGTAGTAAACTCTCTGTAACAGAACTAAAACTAAAACTGTATCCATCTGTATGGCATTGATAACACTCAGTGTGTCCTGTGTCCTCATTTTCCTGGGGATAGGCATAATCAAAGTATTCTCTCAGCCTGGCATATATAGGAAAATGACTTGACATCTATTAGAACAAGCAATTCTATCTTGAATTAAATGGCCTCTGGAAAAAAAAAGAAAGACTTGCTATAAATGTGTACTTTCAGCATTGAGAAAATACAAATATACATCTTTATGTTTGATTAGCTCTAGTAAAATGTCATCAAGAAGATTCAAACTAAGATGGGCCTGGTGGTTTATTCCTTAATCCTAGCACTACAGAGGCAAAGGCAGGAAGATCACTGTGAGTTCAAGGCCAGCCTGGTCTACATAGTAAGTTCCAGGACAACCAGGGCTATATAGAGAGACCCTATTTCGAAAAAAGGAAGAAAGGAAGGAAGGAAGGAGGGAGGGAAGGAAGGGGAAGGGAAGGGAAAAAAGAAAAGGAAAGGAAAGGAAGTTCAAACATTGTTTTTTACTAGTGTTTTGGGGGAAAATAAAATTTTTCATCCATTATATCCTGATCACAGTTTCCCCTCCTTCTTCTCCTCCCAGATCCTCTCCACCCATCCAACTCCATACCTCCTTTCTCTCTCTTTTTAGAAAACAAACAGGCAAAAAAAACGCACATATAAGCAGAAAAGAAAAAGAAAAAAGCATGAGAAACATACATATGCAGATAGACAGACAGACAGACACACACACACACACACACAACCCATAAAAATAAAAAATAAAAAAAATTATACAAGCAAAAGAAAAATAAGTTAACAGTTGCACAAGAAAACAAGGCAGTAGTGGCACAAACTTGTAACTCCAGCACTCAGGAGGCAGAGGCAGGTGAACCTCTATGAGTTCAAGGCCAGCCTAGTCTATAAAGTGAGTTCCAGGACAGCCAAAGCTGTTACACAGAGAAACCCAGTCTCAAAAAATAAATAAACAAACAAAAATTAAAAACATTTTTAAAACTTGCCCAAGCAAAGCATCATGGAAAAAAAACATCAAAAATACCATTGAGATTATTTTGTGTTGGCCATCTACTGCCAGGCATGAGACCTCCCTTAAGTGTGGTTGATGTATCCAGTAAGACACAATAACAAAATGACTCCTAATGACATTCTGCTATATCCATGGATCAGGGTCTTGCTCAACCATCACAAGAGATGCATCCTCCTGTAGCAGATGGGAACTAAGAGAAACAGGCAACTGGACAGTGTGTACAGAGTGAGATAGTCTGGAACACTTGTTCCTAAATGGGATGTCTTCATCAAATTCTTCAGTCAGGGCTCAGGGAAATATATGGAAGAGAAGGTGGAAAGACCACAAGAGCTGGTGGGGATAGAAGACACCAAGGAGATCGTGACCTCAAAAAACAACAGGACAGATGCTCATATGAACTCACAGAGAGACCATGGCAGCATATATAGAGTCTGTACATGTAAAAGCCAGATGGAGTCCAAGTGCTAAGAGGGGAACTGGACATGTGCCTCATCCCTAATCCAGAAGCTATCTCCAATGATTAGCCACTTGCAAATAAAAAAAAAATTCAGTTTTCTATAATGGAGTCTTCTTTTCAACAGGTAGCATTCTCCAGTCATTAATATTTAATGAAACCATTTGTTTAAAGCTGTATATCACTTTCAAAGTGTCCATTGTGCCTAAGGACATTTGATTGTGAATAATAATAGTAGTAATAATAAATAATAATAATGTCAAAGCAAAACATTTTGAAACTTTCCTATAAGCTAGGCTGTTTTTTACTTTAATGAAGACAAATACACCTTTCATTTTCATAACATCATCATGTCTTTTGGATCTCTTCCCAGCAGTTTGTACCCTGAAGAAGGGCTGATGACTTTACATGTGAACAATGATAACTGCTGGTTCCTCTTAACAAGGTTCCTAAGAAAGTGGAAACATGTAGCATGGAGTAGTACTTCCTACAGAGTTATTTCCCTATAAATGACTTATTCTAAGAGACTTAGAATTTAACGAATAACAAAATATGAGCCAAATGTAGAGTTCCCACTACAAATTACTTTTAAATAGATATCTGACCTGCTTAGAGTCTTCTATGAACTAAACTCTTGCCCTGAGTTAGGACCCATTGTCTTGATCATTGTTTTATTGCTGTGAAGAGACACCATGACCACTGCACCTCGTAAAAAAAGAAAGCATTTAATGGGGACTTGCTTACCATTTCCGAGGGTTAGTTCATTATCATCACGGCAGGAGCATGGTGGCACACAGGCAGAAATGGTACTGGAGAAGGAGCTGAGAATTGTACATCCAGATCCATGGGCAGCAGAAACAGAGAGGCACTGGGCCTGGCTTGGGGCTTTGAAACCTCAAAGCCCACTTCCAGTGACATACTTCCTTTAACAAGGCCACACTTCCTAATTCTTCTCAAGGTGTGCTTTTCCTGATGACTAAGCATTCAAATATATGAGCCTATAGGGGCCATTCTTATTCAAACCACCATACCTGTAATGACATTTTCCCAGTGCTACTGAATAACAACCTCTTGTACCTGCAACCTTTGCAGTACATGGCCATTACTGTTTTGACTCATAAAACTTAAGCTGTTTTCATATATTTTTGTTACTTCTACATCTTTACATGGCTTCATGCCTGACTCTTACAGCTGAGATTAACTTGTCCTGTTAGGCCCTGGAAAACTACTGCTCTCAACTTATTTTTTATGCCAAATTTCATTTATTAAAATACCATGCTTCAGTTGAAACATCACATGCAGCTTCTATGGGAGCAACCCAACACCAGTTCTTACTCATAAAGGTAGAGCATCTTGGGTTGTTTCATCAATGTCCAGCAGGTGGATTTTCTTCATTCTATTCTTTCTTGTCATTTGAATATTTACCCTATACATAAAGAAATGAAATTCTGAACTAACTTGGAACTCCCATGACTTCTCATAAAACACTGGATCAAAGGAGCTATCTTAAAATAAGAAAACATATACTTTTTAAAATGTTAAGATTAGGTAATAAGGAGGGTCCAAGGATCTCCCTGGAAAGGAGAAACAGAGATCTCCCAGGTGGAATGGAAACTTGAGGGATCAGGTTGGGTGGGGCAAAGGGGGAGAGTGCGCAGAGAGATGACTGGAAAGGGGAGCTTTATGGGGTCAGGTAGAAGTTCCCATGAGTCTACAAGGATAGTTCCTGCTAAGACTCCCGGCAGCAGTAGATGCATAGCCTGAACTGGCCATCCCCTGTGATCAGATTGGTAACTACCCCAGTTGTCAGCAGAGAGCCTTCATCCAGGGACTGATGGAGGCAGATTCAGATACCCATCCAGGGACTGATGGAGGCAGATTCAGATACCCATCCAGGGACTGATGGAGGCAGATTCAGAGTCAGATGGCCAAACACTGGGCTGAACTTGGAGAGTCCTGCTGAGGAGAGGGAGAAGGGATTGTAGGAGCC